GCTTCCTAGAAAATTAAATGCAAAACTTTCTATCAAAGTGATAGCAGCAAAGAAGCATTTACAGTTTATGTGCAATTTTCACTCCAGGCATACCCACATACACCACAACGGAATAAAGTATGTGATGAAATTATATATACATACACACTGTTGATAAACCAGGTGAAGATACGCTGAACATATCCCACTGGAGTGGGGTACACTACACAGCAGTCTTTAGTGTCTGATGAAGAAATTTTACTGCCAAGCCAACTGAAATCTGCACCTCAGCATTGTTATTTTTTTGCTCCTCCTTACTACTCTCTCCCCCTGTTCTGCAGTACATATACACTGAAGCTTTAGTGATAACTGCAGTCTGTGGTGGCCACAATGCATATTTTAGCAAAGACAGATTAAAGTCTTCCTATTTAGGACCTTACCCAAAGCTCACGGAAGTGAAGTGGGTTTTGTCTAATTCAGATCAAACCTTTCTGCTACATGAGAACCATCCAGCAGCTAGAATGCCCTTCTCGCCTCAGCTTAAGCTGGGTCAAGAGTCTTTCTTTGCAGCTGCAAAATTGATGCTTGAGACTGAGTCTTTTTTTCTGACAAAATCAGGCTTGAGACTGAGACTTTTTTCTTTCACACATTAGTAAATGTATCACACACTTCTTTCCAGACAGAAAGTATCCAAATGTTGCCTTCACATGATGTTTCAATTACACAATATCTTGGAAAAAGAGTAGAGTGAAGTATAATGAAGTTTATTAATATATACTATATATATATATGAATTGCTTTAGTAGCTAGTCACAGCAACAGGATACTAATTCCACCTTGTCTTCTGAATAGTTCTGTATTGTCTTCTTTATTATGGAAATGTAGTTTATTGTCTTCAGAGGAGTTTGGATTAGGGCTAAAATTATTCCAGTCCTGTAGATCTTATACCCCATACATATTCAATAATAGATATACTATTTTTATTCACAAACATATATACACAATATTTTTTTATATACATATGTATATATATATATAAAACCCTATTAGCTAACCTTCTTTGAGCATGGGTTAGGTCTCTCTGGTTTTGTAAAGTAAGAAAAAGTTTAGAAACTGTAATGTAAACAACAGGATTCGGTTCCGTTCCTGGGTTTAGAAGCTAGACCCTGGTCCAGGAAAGGGTATCTCAAAGGAAAATTGATTGAAGCCATATATGTATTTAGAAGACCATCACAACAATGATGGCGACATTGGTCCCTAGAGCTTAGCAAGGAGTCAAATTCTCCTGAAGGAAAGCCACAGAAAAGAGAGGACTGTGATTGACATCTGTAAGGAGAAAATATCAGACTAACATGGTCAGATCCATTTTACTACATCATCCAAGCAAGGAGTTTTCAATTGTGGTTACTGGCATTCATGCAAGAGCATGCGATGATAAAATGCATCTTTGTTTTAAACACACCAACCTCTTATTCCCTTACAACCTCTGAACACAAGTTTTTTTTCTGAGAGGGAAGTGTTACAGTGCTACGTGGATTAGCTCCTGTTTGAATAAAATATAATCATTTGTTTTAATTATACACCGCAAACTGCATATGCACATAGAAAGAAGAATGTGGCTCGTAACCGGATCTTAGTGGCCTCTAGCCTTTCAGTATGTTTTTCCTTACCAGAGTGTAACAAAGAAGGATAGGAAAAAGAATAACAATGTCTAACATATAGACAAGTCCTGTTTCTATTCTGAGCTAGATACAGACTTTTTGCTAAAAAAAGGGCAAAAACTAACAGGGCTAAAACTATATTGCTGTATTTTGGTCCACTCTTTTAATGGGACTAATTTAATACTGCATGGGTATAAATATTATCTGGACACAGAGGAGCTCTGAGGAACATAAAATCCACATCTCATTCAGTGACAAGAAAGGGAAAGAAATTAATAGCTTAGACGAAGAAACACTTCTGAACATGTTAAGTTTTTAATCTTTGGTTTGCAATGTGTCTTGCCTCTGTTAAGAGCAGCATGAGGATTTCCACCACTGGTAGGCGGGGAAGGACAGTGGAAGGTGCAAGGCCCCAGTGGGGACAGAGCTCACCTCCCAGCCCACCAACACTCCTGTCCCCATCTCCCCTTGCCCTGCCCCATTCCCCTCGTGCTGTCCTTGGCCCTCGTTTGGCAGCCGGGTGAGCAGAGTGGACCCATTAAGCGCCTCAACTTGCTTGAGGGAGGAGGAGGAGGGGGTTGCTGGATATTTTTTGCTAGTTTGTTGATGCAAAAAGAGGGCTGCAGAGCACCTCTCCTGAGCTCAAGAGTGGTGACAGTGATGTGGTGACCAAATGAGCAGGGAGGGACAGGATACCGAAAGAAGGAGTAGCATCACCTTTCCAGTGACGGTGAGTACATCTCTGTCCTGCCTCCTGAAACTTCACCGAAGGCATTAAAATTATTAGTCTTCCAGAGGAAAGATACAGCACCAGTAGACACCATTCAATTTGCATCCATTCCTCTTTTTCTCTGCTCTTGGGAGGCAACCTCTGAAAGAAAATCACAAATGGATCCCTATGCTTACTCATGCTCTTTCCTGAAGCTGGAAACCTGATTTACACTGGTTACATTTAAGAGAATCCATATTCTATTGTCTTGTTCCCTGAGTTTTTCCAGCCTCCTTTCCAAAGGGCTGTATTATAAGTTTTGTTGAGTTTTATAAATAGCATGTAATAACAACACAGAGACTTTGGAATTCATTTCTACTCAATAGGTGTCATTTTGGTCTCCCTCTAATTGCTTCTGCCAACATATTCAAATATAAAATCCATAGAAATTACATGCAATATGCTAACTACCACATATATTTTTCCACAACCATTAATTTCTGTGTACTAAATTGTATACTTTGGCAGAACCTTCAAGGGTGTACAATTTAGAGATTGCAATATAATATGATATGGCCACATGAAATGGCAATGTTTGGAACACTGATCAGACAAATTTAGTAAATGGTTTAAAATAGGTAGTTCCACATTTAAATATAATACAGAATAATATATATATAAAAGTAGTCTGAGTAGGCTAACAAAAAAAATTCTTTATCCTCTTTATATGCACACAAACACATGTATCCCTGACAGTTTCCATTAAATAATACTCTCATTGAGTGGCAGTGGGATTTTAAAAATATTTTAATGACTTTGTTGAATCAGAAAATTGTCCTCTAAAGCAAAAATATGGATAAAGTTTGTAAAACAAAAATTCTCAGTTAAGATCTTATTATTTAATTTCATCATTCTGAGGGACAGAACATATTTTAATTGAAAATAATATTTTAATAACAAATTGTAAATTAGTTCTAATAAAAGATCACATGAACATGCTGAAATATACAGATAGAAGAAAGTCAAGTGAACAGAAAGGTCTAAACATAAAACATATGCTACCTCCTCTACAAGCATTCAAGCCTTTCTGCTGGGGAGCTGCACGGCACTTTCAGATCTTACTGGATATTTTATTTTCATTTGGGTGCAATATAATGCCTCTAAGACTTGTTAGCAGTTTCTGTTTACACCAATTATTTTAGTGTACTGATCAGATTTCTCTGCTACATGACAACTACCTCAGCTAAGCTTATGTTACTGACAGCTGATGCAATCTGAACCATTTCCAATGCTACCACATATTTGACACTATTAAACTTTCTCAGTGGTCAGGACGGTCCTGGATCTGTACCTGGAGGAAGGGCTGTCTTCTCTCTTCAGCTGCCGCTGCTGCCAGGCAATCAGATGTTTCTGCAGGCTGGGATTTGTCCTAGGGGTTCCACATGGAAATGTCATGGGGAATCCTGGACCCTACTCTTCCTTCTCTGTCTGAGACCCCTCTCCCATGGGAGCCCTCTCCCATGGGGCTCCTACATCGGTACAACCTACTGCTTCATCCAATCCCCAGAGACTAAAGATGGGATTCACTGTCCTACAGGCACCACTGAAGAGCCCACAGGGTATTTGTTGGCTGAGGGCAGGGGATACAGTGTCTTGAAATTGTCCATGTCTAACAGCTTCACTAGCATTTCTTACTTAGGTTCATGATATTTCTGTTGTACTGGTATATTGCCAATCACCAGCGCACATTACTATTCCACATGTACATACAGGTACAAAACTTGAATATAGCAGTGAATTAGAACTGAAAGATAGGTTGATACCACAGTAAAGAATGTTATAATAGTTTTTTTTTTTAAATAATTTGTTGAACTTTCAAAAGTGCACATATGTCAAGAAATCATAATTCTAGAATAAATGGCATTAGAGCCTTAGAGATATTTATTATAGATGTATAAGGCAGGTGTGTCTACATTTTAAAATATTTATATAATGTAAGCTCCTGCACATACATATTATAATGACATGGATAATCTTAGCAATATAGGTAGATACATAAAAGGGAAAGAAGCACAATACTGCAGCTCCACATGTTTTTCAGAATAGGAAAATATTTTTGTTCAGACTCCAATATTTCTGGTGGAAATACTTTGCAAGACAGGCATGTTTTCCATTAACCTAAATACTGTCAACCCTAACAGAAAACACTGTTAAGAAAATTACTTGATCATACACCATTCAAAAAAACTGTGCTACACGTCTTCTTAGGGACCTGTGTGTGTATTGTAAACTTCTAATGTTAAAATACCAGCCTAATTACTTTTTAAAGTTATTTGTTTGTTCTGGAAAACTAATCCACAGATTCATGTTAATTCACAGATGGTAAGTCTGAGATCCACATGACAAGCTTGATCCGGAGTATATTAAAGTCAATGGAAGTTCATTGACGTCAAAGGATTTCAGATCAGAAACTAAAATAAGGTATTACAGCACAGCATTGAATAACCCTTTTGTTAGCCATTCAGTCATCTTGGTGGATGAGGGGGAGAATTGTCTTTTCCTTCTTATTACTCTTTCTTGTTTTCTTGCTTCTTCATTCTTCCCTTCTTTCCTTCCTTCCTGTTTCTCTTTCTCTTCTCTTTCTCTCTTTCTCCATTTCTCCTTTTCTTCTCATTCTTCCTTGTCAGTTTCTTCAAACTAAACAAACAAGTACATTGTGAAAATTCAGTAACACCATAACGCAAATTGTTTCTACCAGAGCTGCAGTGAATGGATTTGACCCCTAAAATGGTATGTGGGTCTGAGAAATATGGCATTAGCAGCAAAGATTTCATATGCCTTCTAAGACACGGCTCACAGGCATTTCAGCATGCACCATTGCAAGATGTTGCTGTAGTTGACTTTTCCAGTGCTACCAGAAATTCTACTCTTTGTTGTCGCTGTGTAGTATCTCACTGGTTTTAATTGTTCCATAATCTTACTTCAAATTTCTACTCTTTGCTATGAGAAAAAAAAAAAATATATATATATTCTTTCTTCTGAAATGTGAGGCTTACTATTCATTTATATGTTGTGTTATTTGCCTTAGCCACAGATAATAAAGGGAGGCATGAACCACAGATGGTGTGGACTCAATTCTTAAAAAAAAAAAAAAAAAAAAAAATTTAATGTTTTCCAACTAATTTCTTTAACTGTTTCAGGCAACAGTTAAAGACTTTTGGGGGGAGGAGGGATATGCTTCTTTGGCTTGTTTTATTGCTGATGTAAAGGATGTTTTGCATCTAAACTAGGTTTTACTTAGAATTTGAGCACCCCTTCACAGCACACGGCATTATTGCTTGAGGACCAAAATCATTCCTTTGAGGCATCCACGGTACTTCTATGTCCTGCAGTGAAAGACAGCACACTTGTGGACTGAGCCAGCTCCACTCTCCTCCCCAGGTTACTCTTTTTCACCCATTTCTCTCTTTTTACTATAGAGACTTCCCATATTGACGATCTATTAGCAAGACTTTCTTCTTACACACATGTGCATGCACAGCTACTGCGCCTGGGAGCAGCATTTGATTGACCATTGGACTGGTCTATAATGGACCCTCATTGCTGCTTTCCCTGGGTATTCTTTTACTAAGTCTTTATTTGATGTACACTTCAGCAAAGTTTCTGACACTGAACAAAGCAAACAAAGACAGTACAGCCTAATAGAATTCTGGTCTGAAACAGCTACCAAAAACATTAAATGTGTGACAGACCCCAGGGAGAGTGTTGATTTTTTCACACTAGATCATTCAAAATGCTTACAGCTAACATTATCCAAACATCACAAACAAATAGTCTGTGAGCCTAGCACAGCAACGAGAAAGAAATGGAGAATTACAGAATCACAGATGGCTGAGGTTGGACGGGACCTCTGGAGGGCATCTGGTCCAAGCCCCCTGATCAAGCAGGGCCGCCCAGAGCCGGTTGCCCAGGACTGTGCCCAGGCAACCTGTGAATACCTCTGGGGATGGAGAATCCACCACCACTCTGGGCAGCCTGTGCTAGCGCTTGGTCACCCTCACAATATAAAAGTGTTTCCTGATGTTCAGACGGAGCCTACTTTGTTTCAGTTTTTGCCCATTGCATCTGGTCCTGTCACTGGGCACCACTGAAAAGAGAAATGAAATCCCTTTCCTAAATAGAGCACACAGTTAGAGCAATGGTTTAACAAAAAGATACTTCTGACCAACTTCAGCTAAGATACATATCTGAGAGAGCAAAACCCAGTAATCATGTATCTGCTTCACGTAGCATGGAAAGAATCAAATGTTCAACTAGTTTCTTATCTGAGGGAGGGCTTTCCTTCCCTGCCAGCACAGTGTAGCCTATCAAGCAACTTTTTCTTAGCAAAAACAATCAGCAGTTAAAACTTACTGCACCACTGGCATCAAGACACGTGCTAAATACCTCCTGTTGGTTTAGTACTCTCTATTCCACAGGACCGGGATGCATAAGGTCTGGAAGATGTTCCCTATATCTTTCCTGTGCATCTGATGTCCTGCCCTGCTATACCCTATTTTCTTTTTTTTTTTTTTTTTAATTTAGAGATGTAATAAGAGTAATATTATTAAAAAAAAAAAATATATCAGCTTACTGTTAAAACTGTCAAAATAGTCCCTAGAAGAACCAGACATTTTATGACAACCAAAGACATCCTACTATGTTACAGTTGTTTCATCTGGAGAAGCTGGTTTTGCTTCTTTTTGAAGCTGTTGCATAGGTTTCCCATAGTTGAGGAATGTTTTTCTGCTTCTGCAAAAATAAATTAATAAATAAATGCACTGTATTTTTCAAACAATGTTAATAGATTCTCAGTGGATATTTATAGAGCCAAACAGTAAGTCTGATCTGTAATGATTTCTATAAGGTCTTATACCATAAGAAGTAACACTGAATGTGACAGTTATTTTTGTAACATGACAGAAGAAAGGACAGTGGTATCATTTGTGGAAACACTGCTATAGCTACAATTATAGTGCTCTTCCTCATGTTCTTATAGTGGGAATCAGGGTATTTTCAGTCTAGGCATATAAGTTAAGAGCAGACTAACACAAGCACACTTTGCCTTCATTGAAATGGATTGGAGTTGTGTTATTAACACTAAGAGAAGTAGAACTAGCTCAAATGTGGCCAGCTAGTGAGCATCCATACAGCATAATAGAAATCCCAACTGACATCCAGTGTTGTGCTACCATTAAACAAACACCCTTGGCTGATTGGAATTTCTCATAGGCTGCAAGGCAGACAAGCTCAGACACTAAGGACTGAATTTCTCTGCAGTAACACATGTCCAAAAGATACGTGTATATTTAAACCAAATCCATAGGCCTCATGAAATCCTCACCAATTCCAAGGAAAACACCTGAGTTTATGCGGTCCTGACATTATACTCCATTACACAATGTAAACAGGGGCCAAAGATATCTCAGATAATTAAAATATTAGCTTTGAGATCCAGAGTGGATCTTGCAGGCCTTGCTCAGATGTTTGTGTTGTACCCCTAGTGATTTTGAGGCCCAGGAGGGCTTCTCAGCACAGACGTGGCACAGTTCAAGCTCATACTGATGCCTTCCTGCAACACTGCATGCAGCAGAACAAGCTTTTCCAGATCCCTGAGCGTGGTGTTGATGCATCAGCAGGCACCACACTGCTCAGCTGGGCAGGTTGCATGGAAGTCCCCCACTGAATACACGAGTGGTCTGGCATTACCAGGCGTTGCTCCCTGCAACACTCAGGTTTCAGGACTGCGGTGCAAGTACACCCAAGCTGGCTCCCTGCAGAGCAAGCTCCAGACACTGAAAGTTAGAATAACCTTTGGCTTTATATTAAAGAAGGTTACTCTTAGTTATCAGGAGGTAAGTTGGTTACTTTTAGAGCCTTAAACTTATGTCAGCATTAATCTATCTTTTGCTGGTGCAAACAAATTAATGAATGCAGTCAAAGAATAACTTTTTGTCCTTTTGTATTCATCTTACAACTGGTAAAGTTACACTTCTTGGCATCCAGTGAAGTCTCCACTGTGTATTTTTGAGTGCAAACATACAGAAGACTAAAAAATATCAGTATTATAAATGGTACTTGTTCCAGTAGGGTATGCAGTTACAAAAACATTATTTTAAACAGCCATGGAATGACATTATACTTTTGAACATGTGAGTAGATACACTGCCTTTTTTATCCTTTTTCAGAGGCTCAGTTGTCTGACAACCTGTATGCTTAAACAGTATTGAATATCTAAACTGCTGTATTTCAAAACTCACCCATTTAGTTTTTTCAATAACTGCCTCTGTGAAGAAACAAATATTCTCCTAATCACCTCTTGCAATGCATTAAGATCTAGCTCAGACTCTCGTGTTTTCCCTAACGCCTCGAGTGTTTAAATTTTTTTATGATGGGAACAATACTCCTATGGAAACACAGTTGTTTGATTTCCACACTGGTAGACTACAGGAGGAAAAAAGAAAGGACATTATGGCTCCAGAACTGTGAAGTGTAAGATCTCTAAAGATGTTCCTGTCCTTGGAGCTGTTCTCATTTGCCTTTGAGATATCTTCTATCAAATACACAGAGCATCTAGAAAGTAGGTACCCCTAATTCAAACCACATGTCTTAACTCCTAGCTGCTCTGGTGATCTCATCTCTCAACCATCATATGCAGTGTGCATTGTGCAATCCTCCCCTTCATTTTCAATCCTGTCTTGTTTAATAAAAGAGCTCTTTCAAACTGTGTTTTTCTACAATACATAGGAATATAAATATTAATTTATCATATTCTGTACCTATAATTGCATTTCTCCTCAGAAATAATATTTCCAGAGGTCTCCAACAGATAGTTAAAAATATTAATTATAATAAATTAAACTACCTGCATATACTGAATATAGCACCCTGTAAATTTTGTTCATTTATTCTCTATAATAGTGTCTAATTGCATCTATTACTTATGCAAACCTCCCAAGGCCTTGCACATAAATAACTCCCATTTACTTGAAGACAAGTTGCTCTCATCCTGCAGTAGAAAAAGACTCCTGTTTACATTTCACTGTAGATTTTTATTCAAAAACTCAAGCTCAAAAAACTCTTCTTTAACATAAAGGCGTGAAACTCACCTACCTACCTGAAGAATGTGACAGAAGTCACAAATGAAAGAACGAGAAAAGCTGAAACATAAAAAAAAAAATGTTTCAAGGTAGTGCTTCATGCTTTCACTCATGCTTGGGATGAGCATATAGCTTCAAAGCTGAAAATGTGTGAAAAGACATGATGAACTCTCTCACCATTACTCTCCAAATCCATACCTAAAACTGTTGTTTGTCTTGCTTATAAAATGTTGGAATTGATTATCTGGCTAAGGTGATGATTCTACTGTGCATTATGTTAGAAATCATTGTTGTTATTCCATTTTACATTTGGGGCAATCCTCCTTTTTGACCGACACCTGGTCAGTGAGGTACCGGACCATAAGGCACTACAACAATGTAAAGGTGCATGTGTTGGCATGCATGATAGAACAGGAATAAGTTAGAAATAATGTTTATGTACTGTTAACAATGTAAAGCCAAGTTCTTCAGCAGTTTCTCTACTCATTTGGGGAAACATCTCACTCCACAATTATGTCTATTGATTACAATAACTGAAGATTTTAAATTTGTTCTCAA